CGTGCATCATGAACAGTGAGTGATCTGCCTGCTACAGTATTTTTCTCTTTGCATCCGTCTTCAGTGTCTCTGGCCTCTGTTAACGGGCGTTTTCAGACTTCATATTTTCACATAAACGACATTTGGAAAATGGTATGCATTGCAACGCAGTTTGTGCAAGTCCAGAACAGAGATCGGCTGCAATAAAACAATAAACAGCCGGTTGCCGATCGCGCAAGTTCCAGAGGAAGCTCCTTCAGCCGTCATACACACACGTGACTGACCGCTCGCTCGCACCAACAGGAGGGGGAGGGGCATGTTACTCTCTAACACTGCACTCAACCTGAGGGATTCCTACACTTTCAGTCTTTGAGGAGACATGAAAAACAGCGCATACCGCAGGAATGGTATAACGGAAAATATTAGCGGTTTTGAAACCGTGAAATTTTCAAATCGCGTATACCTTGAAACCGGTAATCGGCCCATGCCTATTCACATGACTCTAAATGACCTTTCACGTAAGCACTTTTCCGCACCTTTGACCTCGACATGAAAAGCATTATAGCAAGTGTTTTTTGTGAAGTTGCTAGTACACAAGAAAACAAAGTGTTCAAAATTATTGATAAAAATAGCAACTGCAAACACAGTGATATTATTTAAGCGTGACATCACAACACAGTGTCAAGGTCACGTGAAAGGGCATTTAGAACAACATTTATAATAGACTAGGCGCCACTTCTTCCCATAAAACCTACTAAATGGCTCATGGCTCCTTGTGGGGATCAATCTAGCATCCTTCTGGTTACCTCTTGCATGCAAATCCAAATGAAGATGCCAATTGGCAAATGTACTCACTGAACTTTTGTGAGCGCTCTGCTCAGTCTGCAGGGTGAACACTGACAGGTCTCCGTTCAGAATGACATCAGCCAGGGAATGGACAAGCGGCTGGTAGTGGATGATTAGGAACACCTAGAGACAGCGGGACATCATATGTTATCGCTTGACCACATGCGTACAGCTCACACCGTGTGTATGTATGGTGGCTATTCTTCTCATTGCAAGTCTCAACAAAACTGAAGCACGTTTCTGTACCTGTGACAGCAGGTAGAGAGACACCTGAGGGTTGATCTTGCGTTCTTCAGCCTGGAAAAAAAACAGATTGTTATCATGTGGCATGAAAACTAGATAATTACTTGGGGTGAAAATGACATCATACTCATGCTTGGATCACTATTGTATACATTACACTTCCATTCAAAAGTGTGCGGCCAGTAAGAAAAAATTTTTCTTTTTTTTTTTTAGAAATAAAATTGTAAGAAATTAATATTTTATTCAGCAAAGATGCATCAAACTGATCAGAAGTCAGAGTAAAGATTTAGGTTGTAACCAAAATTTCTATTTCAAATAAATGCTACTTTGAACTTTCTTTTTATTAAAGAATCCTTTGAAAAATGTTTCACGGTTCCTACAAAAACTGCTTTAAACTAGGGATGCTCTTTTTCGCCTCCGATACCGATTCCGATACCTAGGGTTCGGTACTGGCCGATACAGATACCACTCCTATACCAGTGAAGTTTTTTTTCCCTCATTTAAATAAATGTAGAATTTATATATCTCTGTGTGTGGAACTGATAATCATTCTTTCACAATCTACTAGATACAGACTACTTCATTATAAAGAAAAATAAAATAAACAAATATGAAAAAATATAGGCCTATGTATATTTATAATCTATGACAAAAATTGATCATAAACTAGGTTAGTGGATAATTCGGCAGCAAAATTTATTCTAGAAAAATCAGTGCACAATAATTTTAGAAATCCAAACATTTAGTGAAAAAACTATATTTTGTGGGGAACAAATAAAAGTGTTCCATCCCTACTTTAAACATTGATAATGAGAAATGTTTCTTGAGCAGCAAATCAGCTTATTAGAATGATTTCTGAAGGATCATGTGACACAGAAGACTGCAGTAATCTTTCTTTTTTTTTTGCATTCAGAAAGTTATATAACATATCAAGATCGGTAAGTGAAAGTGACGTGACATGTGGCCAAGTATGGTGACCCATACTTGGAATTAGCGCTCTGCATTTAACCCATCCTTAGTGCACACACACACAGCAATGAACACACACACCGTGAACACACACCCGGAGCAGTGGGCAGCCATTTATGCTGTGGCGCCCGGGGAGCAGTTGGGGGTTCGGTGCCTTGCTCAAGGGCACCTCAGTTGTAGTATTGAAGTTGGGAGAGAGCGCTGTACATTCACTCCCCCCACCTACAATCCCTGCCGGTACGAGACTCGAACCCGCAACCTTTTTTACTTTTTTATTACCAACACTTCCAAATGAGAGCGGAAAGCTTTTATCTATTTAACACACTTTGGAAGCCATTGAATTTTATGGCTTAAAAGAATCATAAATGCACAACAGAAGTAAGTAAAAGCATAACTCAAGTCAATATAGTGAATTTTTATCAAAATAAAAGAGTTTTGCAATAACACCTCCAATGGTTATGCAAAACTAGCCTGGAATAAACACTAGCCTACCAGACGTATGCTAGTTGTTTTTCAGACATGTGCAGTTGTGTCCTCACCTGCTCTTGACTGACCAGAGAGTACACGTATAGGGGAAGGAAGAGGCGGTTGAGCAGGTGGTCGGTCAGCACGTCATTGAGAAACTCACAGTTGATGATGAGGATGTCGTTCAGATAGTGAAGATGGTCCAGGTGCTCAGCTACCAGATCGCTGAGTTTTCCTCTGTTTTTATGTCTGATGAGAATGGGTGTAGATGGGGAAAAAGTGCAATATTTTAATCACAACCATTAATGAGCAGGCTATGGTGTGAATTCAGATTCAGAATTCAGACTGTGGTCTGTAGTGACACCTAGTGGCGTGGCGGTAAACCGCACATAAAAAGGTGTCATGAAAACCTTACTCTTCATCAGTCTGCACACACTTGTCCAGCTCGATGACATGGCTGCCGATGAACCAGACCAAATTGGAGAAGTACGGCACGGCTGTTTTGTCCCGGATGTAGTGTAGCATGTGCTGGTTGTCCACTGGGGGGCAGGACCAAAAGTAAACAGGGTTACTCACAAACAGGCAGAGAGACAGGAAACAGTGATGTGGGAAAGGAACTGTTAGGTTTGGTATAACTAATAACACTAATAACACATACTGACCGGTGGTCTTTAAAAAGCAATAGAGGTTAATTACAGAGCAATGTGCAATGTGATTGGTCAGATGTTGGAGGGATATGTTAAATGACATTCCCTAAGCAGAGTCACTAAGCGGAACTAGGTTGCATTATATTTGATCCTAGGCAATAGACAAGTCCTGTACTAAGCATGCTGAGATTATAAAATGTTGTGAAGTGTATCTAAACTTATAAAGGCTCACTGTGCAATAAATAGTAACAAATTAATAGGGTCCTCAGTGGTCAAAAGTCTATCTAGGATTATGGATGCTATAATGATCAGTTGCTCAATGAACCTCCAGCATCTTTTTGTTTTTTTTTAAAGAAATTAAATTAAAACACAAACATACAACTGATACTGCCAAAAACCACCATAAAAGCCACCAAATGTAAATGTAAAAGGCACCAATGTGGGACAGTTCAAATAAGTGTATTTTTTAACTATTATCAGTGTATGCATTGTAAACCTGTGTACACACAGACAAAAGAAGCAACATGCAATACAAGTGGCACAAGAAAGTTCTGAATTTGACCAACTTACATGACACTGGAATAAGGCACACAGGAGTCACCATAGAGGGAGAGGGGAAGAACAGACAAAGGGTTAAACAGGATGAAGGGACTGAGCTAGTGGAGCTCTGGGCCCTAGAGGCCAAAAGATGGAACCATCACACCACCTAGTGGCATATATTAAAGCATCTGGAACCAAGAACAGCCTAAAAACACCAAATATATCAACCAGATCCATGAAGCTGCCAGGACATGCTAAAAAGCAAAGCATACCACCCAGCTACTTATTCTGACAATCAGGGATTTTAACTGCATTGTTGCAGTTAATTCAATGCATTTATATAGTAATTATGCATGTGATCTGCCATATCAAGAAAGCCACAGAAAGTACTTGAACATTTAAGCAACACTTAAAAATGTTACATAAAATCTTACAGATAGATACATGGTGCACTGCAGTCATAAACGTATCAGCAGACTCAGATGTTATTTTTTATGTTGTGCGTATTGATCCAATAAATTAAAATGAGGCTGATATTTCAGACAATAAATTACAGACAAGTCCAGACCAGGGTGACCACGTTATTTCTATTTGGCTTACGTATTATTAAAAATAAAATAATATAAAATAAACTGTTTGGAAGATTTTTTTATCCATGGAACAAAGACATTTTCTTTATTATTATTTTTATCTTTATTGTAGAAGTTATATTCTCCTTTTAACATTAATACAAGACATTTAGCCATAAATGAACAAGATTTATTTGTGTTTGTGTGATTGTATGTAACTGTCTATATTGTCTTTACGCTGGAAAGCACTTTAAATGTGCTATAGAAATCAATTTGTACTGTATTGTTGTATTGTAGGCATGTGTAACTTCTGTTTAAATTAGTTCAATGATGCAGTTTCCCACTGTACATGTTTTTTGGTGTCATTTGAAGCACAGATATCTACTTTTCAGATGAGTGCTTTTTTTTGTAATCAGTCTGACAAAATGTAGATTGATATCTAATAATAGTCAATATATTGGTTATTGGCTTCAACATACTATTAATTAAATTTTTAGATTTAGACATATCCATGTAGGTGCATCCCAATAAAATATTACACCAACTAGCTTTTATACAAATAAAAAAAAAGATTTGCAAAAGGTTGCTTATTCAATGCAATGACATTTTAACACTTAAGTGTTGTTTACATCGCCAAATCTTATTTAGGGCCATTGTTTGCGCATTAACGTCAGAAACATGCACCGATGGCAGTTTGATCTAAACTACAACAATCTCCATAGGGATCAGTTGATTAGCTGTAAGACGAACAACAATTCAAGGGCAAGTGCCAAGCAGATAGTAAGAAATGTTAAGTCAGTTATTCAAGAAGGGAAGAAGGATTTATATACAAGCTTAAGCCAGAGAAACAGATCAACGAAAGCCCTTTTGTCTTGAGCACGTGACCATACCCAAGAGAAACCCCAGTGTGCCCGTGCATGTGTGTAGAGTCAGCAGCCATCACTAAATGTAAGTGTGAGTTACTCACAGATGGCAGAGAGCAGTGTCAGCATGCCCATGCATCAGAGGCATGACAGTGATTGACAGAAGAGAGGAGGATCAGGCGGCAGCAGCAGCTGAGTTGGGCTCTACTCACCTTTGTACACATTGAGTGTGATAGTCCTGACCGCGATCCTGACCATGCTTTCTGGGTGGTTGAAAAACTTAATGGCCTCCGTGTACAGGGCAAAATCATTAGTGTGCTAGAAGCGTGGGAGACAGAGAGTGAGGCCGTCAGCGAGGAGAATTAGCTCAGAGAGAGGAGAGCTGCAACTGGTGACAATAAAGGGGTCATATGATGTTGCTAAAAAGAACATTATTTTGTGTATTTGGTGTAATGAAATGTGTTTATGCGGTTTAAGGTTCAAAAAACACATTATTTTCCACATACTGTACATTATTGTTTCTCCTCTATGCCCCGCCTTTCTGAAACGTGTCGATTTTTGCGAAGCTCATCAGTCTGAAAAGCAAGGTGTGCTGTGATTGGCCAGCTATCCAGTGCGAAAAAATATAAAATATAAAAACTCTTTAAATATAAAAAACGTATCATACATCAAATTAATGTACAATGATAGAATTAACGTGATTATTGGAAAAGTCCGTGAGTCAGAACAGCCGGCATTGTAGTCTACTCTACCAGGATCAGGAAACGATCCTCCATAGAAGTAGTTTCGCTTTTACAACGAAACACAGCGTCACACACGGTGGCCTAGAGTGAGCAGAGGCCGGGGGCTAGAGTGAGGAACGGCCGGAGGGCTAGAGTGAGCAGAGGCGGCGGGCTTGAGAACGGCGCGGCCGGCGGATTCGACGAAGGAGCGTCCGGAGGGCTTGCGGCAACCACATGTGACGAACCCGGGCTGGACTCCGCTTCGTCCACGGTGAAAGCCGATCCGGTGATCCACAGCGCAAAGTTGTTGTATTTCCTCAGCGACCAGCACGGATCAGCTCCAGGCATGACGAAGCAGATATCGTCCTCTTTTGGAAGACCAAACAAAGTAGTTTCGCTTTCACAACGAAACACACAGCGCCTTCACGACATGGCGGCGGCAACAACAATACTACAGCAAGAATAAAAGTTACACCTTCTTTCTTTGCGTGAACATTTGGGCGGTGTTATGCAAATCTTCCCACATAGTGACGTAGATATGTGGGGGCGTGTTAGAACGAGCCAATTTAGGTAGGCATGGCTGACTCTTTAACTTTTATAAAGAATATCTCTTTGGATTTGAGACTTTAGTCTTTGCAACTTTACAGATCTTCTTTATGCACCAAGAGCTTGTAACATTCCAAAGAGAAAGGAAAAATTTAAATCGCATCATATGACCCCTTTAAACAAAACCTGTACGCTTATTCACTTGTGAATCCAGGATTGTCTAGAGAGCAGAAGAAATGGGCACATAACACCACTGACACTGAAAATGCAATGCTACTGGGTATTAAACCGGCTTAAAATGTGTAAAATTAAAATTCTTGTTGTAGTCCATACAAACACAGCATATCAATAAAGTTGTCACTCCTCTCCTCTTTTTTCTATATAGAAAAATGTAGGTAGTGACGAGCATATTTGTCTGTACATTCCCATTCAAAAGTTTGGGGTAGGTAAAATTTTTTTTTAATGTTTTTTTAAATAAGTTTCTTATGCTCACCAAGGCTGTGGTATTTGATCAAAGATACAGTAAAACAGTCATATTGTGTAATATTATTACATTATTAAAACAGCTATTATTTATTTTCAGTGTTGGGCAAGTTACTCTGAAAATGTAATCTAATTACTGATTACTCCTTTTAAAAGTAATCACGTTACTGTTGTGATTATTTTATTTCAAAAGTAAATAGTAATGTTACATTACTAGTTACGTTACTTTTTTCTCCATGAAATTTATGAAATCCCAGCATACACGCTCCCGATATATATTTGTTATTAAAGCATCAACATTCACAGAACACTGTTATTTTTAACTAAAGCAAGCGGCTGCTGCGTGCATGGTTTGGCATGGCAGAATGCCAGCAAAGAGCGCTGCATTTATAATCTCTAAAACACATCTCAGTTTATCGCAATTTCACAAATCTCTGTTATAACACAATAAATGTATGCATAATGAATCTTTCATAATGTCTACAATTCGTGTGTTATAATGAGGATTCTGAGCACGCAAATTTCAGCACTGCATTGCTCAACGCTGCAAACACGTGTTATAGCCTAAATAGAAACTCTGTATACGCTTGTATATATATATATACATTTTTTAAATTATATTTAAATATTATAATGTTTACTGTTTTTAATCAAAGTGTTACATAAGGTGTGGCTATTTTAATACTGATGCCAGACTTTCATGCATTTCACTCCTTCATTCGGTGATATAAAATAATTTATGTTGTGATAGAAGATTCAGATAATTTTTTAACTAATTATATGTCTACATTTGCTAATATTAATTTGGTCAGGAATACTAGTTAAACCCCAAAATGTTTTTTGTTTACCACAAGATGCCAAAATGTTGCTATGGTTATCACTGTAACAACCATAATGAGTTCAACAGAGTTCATGTGACTCCTCAAGCAATGCTGTTGTCACTCCCAAAATTTCATTTGTTACTGTGTCTATAAAACTCATTTATTCTAAAGGGAAAAGCTGATGTCATAAGCTTCATAAGTCTTTAACAGATTAAACTATAGTTTTAGTATATTTCTGTAAAAGGCTTGTCTTAATATGCACTGGTTTACATTTTACATTAAGACAACGTCAATCAGTGCAGCATCAGATCTCTCATAGAGCAAATCCTTCCATGCAGGCCCTCTCTATTCCTGACACCAAAACATAACAGCATCAAAGGTGCCACGGAATAAAGAACACATGACGGTTAAACACAACCATTTACAGTACACCAATAACTTCCCCTTATACAAAGGAGCCCCCAAACATTTCCGTCACCTTCCAATCCACATAAAACAGTTGTAAATTTACAGATGTACTGCATTTGTCCAAAGTGAAAGAAAATAACTGCTCAAGTTGCATGAAAACACAGGAAACATGGTTTTACAAGTCACAGTGGGCTGTTAGCTCTTCCTGGAAGTGCGCTATGGTCTGTTACACGCAGAATGCATCTGAGCCCACAAATAAAAGCCCCCTTCTGCTTTCAGTCTATAAACCTGTCATTTGATAAAATGACAGTTGCCCCAGTAAATGCACCTTACCTCGTTGTAGAAGAAGTGCACTGTGTGGTTGTTGAGTTTCAGAGACAACGTTTTCAAAAAGGAGATATAGTAGGCCATAATTTCCTCATCAGAGAAGTCAGAGCACGCAGATTTCAGCACTAAGTAATGCGTTACTGCCCAACGCTGTTTATTTCAATACATTTTAAAATTCAATTTATTCCTTCAGGCTTCAGTGTCGCACAGTCCTACAGAGATCATTGTAATATGCTAATTTGGTACTCAAGAAACATTTCTTACTATCATCAATTCATATTTTTGTGGAAACCAGGATTCATATTTTTCAGGATTCTTTGATGAAAAAAAAAAAGTTAAAAAGAACAGCATTTATTCAAAATAGAAATATTTTCTTACAATATAGTAGGCCATAATTTCCTCATCAGAGAAGTCAAATTTATGTACAATGATAGAATTAACGTGATTATTGGACAGCAAATAATCTAGAAAAGGAAAATAACAACATATTTTATGTTCAGGACATAAACATCAAATTAAAAAACATCAAATTTGAACTTTATCCAGGAGTTTACTCACAGAGAGAAGTCTCATGACTGATGTTCTCGAAAAGGATGTTGAGCGTTTGCAGAAGCTGGACACACACATACCGTCCGGATTTCTGCCGTAGTATGTTGAGGAAAAATGCAAACATGTTCTTCTCCAAAAAGAAGCTACGGAGAGAGAATGATGTTTTCGGTCATTAAAAACATGGTTTAGCATTTTAGATAGGCCTATGCTGTCATTTTATTGCAAATCTAACATGTGGAAACACTGTCAAAATTGGAAGGTGAAACTCACTCAAAGACAGAGCTGTCATTCTGATCACCCCAGATGAGAATCTCAGTAATGGAGCGAATAGTTTCCACCAGCAGATTTCTGTTGTGATCAGTCACTGTTGTGTTCTTTGTTAGGACGTGGTACATGTACCTAAATAAAAAAATAAAATAAAAAAATCACAATAAAAAATACCACTTAAATGACACAATACATTTCATATTATGAGCACAACGTATATATTTTAATGCTTTAATAACGTATATTAAATGCTTTCATTATTAGAAAATAATGTAAGTGACACATTTAAGGCACTAACCCAGCATTTCATCCAACCCTATGTTAACTAAGGCGGTGTCTCAAAAAATAGTGAACTGACTGCCTAGGCACCATTTTTTGGGCATCATATGTACATATGTCCAAATGTCACAATAAAAGCTGTCTTGGTACACAGTTCACTAGGTTTTTACACCCAGCCTAATGCTTCACATTCAACTTTGCTCATATGTTCGCAGTTTTACATAGCAAATAAATCCCGTCATGAGTAACATTATATGTTTACATTTCTAAACTGACTACTGGCGACTTTCCACATTAATGACAAACACCGACTGAATTTAAAAAAGCTTTAACTGCACGAGCTGAGCTGGCTAGCGAATTAGCTGCAAAAAGTCTGTAAAGGCTTACTTCAAATGGTCCAAAGAATGAATGTTTTTGGACTTCCCCTGTCCTCCGACCCAGCTCCTTGAACGGCCGAACATTTTTCGGGTGTTCTATTTCGCAATATGTATGTTCTTAACACAATTTGCTAGGCGAATTGACCCATATCCGCTGCAGGGAAGGCCTAGAATATTCACATGAAAACATACCTGTCGTCCTATCGCTCCAGACGGCCCAAACCTCAGCTCTAAGTCATTATGGGATTTGTAGTTTATTATGGAAGTTGTTATAGTGAGTTCCCACCAAGTTACCCACCATCACGGACTCAATTTCCCAGAGTTCCGTGCGAATGCAACGGGTTTTGGTGAAGTCATGAGAAAGCGCCGTTTGTTTTTGTTTTTCACGCGTTATAAATCTCCGCCGAGCCTTCAGATGATTTTTATTTATGCATTTTCCGCACCGCCAGGCTTTTAAGAACGACACGGGATAGTCCTAATGTCAAAGAGCAGCGCGTAGCCTTGGAACATTCAAACATGCATTTCTTCACTAACACGTTTGCTGTATAGTGGAAACATACTTTCGTATGTTTCAACGGCTTGCAGGGGAAATAACGTTACTGCTGAAAAGGGAGTTGCATCGCTTCGTGTTTTGAGTCAAATGGATAGATTCACACTTCCAAACTGACCTGTTTGATATAAAGGGTGGTAAATGTTTTTAATTCGCTCAGTCTGCTCAATGAGACTGAAACATATGTTTTGGAGTCTATGACACACTCAATTTACTCTCGGTTAGATTCAGTGGAATCGCTAATCAACGAGCTTCCATATATGTTTTATCTCGGCCTGTTTTTTGTTAATGTCTTAATTCTCTACTATGCCTTCTTAATGGAATACATAGTCCTTAATGTAGGGATAGTATTCTTGCCAGAGGATATGGACCAGGCACTGGTGGATTTGGGTGTACTTTCTGACCCAGCCTCAATTCCATATGACACAGACGCTGAGCTGGATGTTTTTGATGGTTATCTGGAATAAACAAACCATGATTGACACTTCCAGCCGAAGCCTTTGTGGGGAAGATGTCCTTTGGCTGGTTCATTTGGTTACTGGAGAACCATTGTCAAAGGGAACTACATATGATCTCTGCAGACATAAAAGGATGCTGCAAAAGTGGTCAACCTATAAAAAAGTGACTTGCATGAATAAGTAAGTAGTTTTTAAATGATGATTCATGCTCAAAGAATATATGTGCATTGAGTATTGTGTCTCCACAGGACTTCCAGGTTCAGAGGACTGACCTGCAAGCAAGCCATCGTGCCACATGGAATATTTACCTGGAACATAAGCTGAACGGTCTTTGTGGTTTTCCATGGAACAGCCAGCCAGTGTCTCTTCAGAGATCAAATTCAGGCACTAACCACTACTGTGTGGAAATAAATATTACATTAGCCTATTTATTTCATAGACAAATAAATAAAAATAAATAGACAAATAAACAAATAAATAAAAAATATGTCATGAGACAAACAGGGTGTCTGAATCAGTGTTCTAAGTTTTTCCTTAAAGTCTCTCTTAGGAACCGCATATTTGTGACAGCCTGAGAAAGATATATTTGTCTGAGGTTCGTTTATCCACTCAATATAAATTATTAATTTCACTTTGTGTTGTCAAGGTGTCATATTTGACTCAAAAATCTGGTGCCTTATTTTAGAAACGTTGTGTGTAACATCTGACTTCTCTGGTCTAAATGAGATCCTATGAAATAACAATTGTTTGCTAAGAAGATGAAGGTCATCGACCAAGATCTAGTTTAAAACACATGTCAGTTTCTTAGAAATGTGCTGTTTATAATTGTTAGTTTCATATGGTTTTGAAAAACATTTATGCCATTTTTAAGAAAGGTTTCAGTTTAGTGACTCATGTGGTGTGTTCATCAATTAAAAAGTAATGCACATATTAACATATTACATATTCTAGCTTATTTTAGCATATATATGTACAGTAATTATTTTATGAATATCATTGTGGGGGATTATACATACAGTGCCCTCCACTAATATTGGCACCCTTGGTAAATATGAGCAAAGGCAGCTGTGAAAATAAATCTGCGTTGTTTTTCTTTTTGATCTTTAATTAAAAAAATTCATAGAATTCTAACCTTTCATTTTTCTTCAAGTCTGCTTTATTGTCAATTCTTCCACATGTACAGCACATACACACAGAGAATTGAAATTGCGTTACTCTCAGACCCTTGGTGCATACAGATAACACTAACATTTACTTCATTGAAGTAAAACAAAGGAAAGTGGGGGGAAACACACATTATGAAATAAATGTTTTTCTCCAATGCATGTTTGACCACAATTATTGGCACCCCTAGAAATTCTTATGAGTAAAATATCTCTGAAGTATTTTCCCATTCATATTTACAATTTGTTTAGCACACCAGGGTGACTAGGAGAATGAAATTGTCCAGCCACGACTTCCTGGTCCACAGGATTATAAATATGAGGAAC